TTGAGCCACATCCCCAGCCCTGATGGTCACTTTCTGAGTTAGGGAATGGCATAGACTTGTGCTGCACTTTAAGTCTTTTTTTTTTTTTTTTTTTTAGGTAGCAATTTAATCATAGTATAATCATAGCTAGTTTTTTGTTTGTTTTTGCAGTGCTGGGGATTGCCTAGCTTCATGCATGCTATGCTAGGTAACTGCAAGGCCCTGAGTTCAATCCACAGCACTGCCTAAAAAGAAAAAAAGTATTTGTGGCTGGGGTTGTAGCTCAGTGGAAGCAAGCATACACACTAAGTTTGGTCACCAGCACAAAAAATACAAGTAGCAATGCATATGGCAAAAAAAAAAAAAAAAAAAAAACCCAGCAGAAATTTATAAAAGTATAGTATAGAAGCATACAGAATTTACAAAGTAATCTACCTCCCACTGTTAGAATTTTGTATATGCTCCCAGGAAGAGCTGAGGGTGCACCAGCCATGTTCTTTATACTTTATGTTGCATCCTGCTGAGCTCTCCATATAGCCCAATGTATGGACCACTACATGCAGCTGCTATTTGGAGCAATCACAACTGTTAACCTTTTTATGGGCATTTCCAGTTTGCTAGCAAAACTCCACTTCCATATATATCCTTGCTGACACCTCTGCAGGTGAATTCCTGACAGACCACTTGCTGGGATCAAAGGGATAAAATGCCCCTGTAATTTAAACAAATGTCTCCAAACTTCCTTCAAAAATTAATGCAATTATTTACATCCCCACTCAACAGCACAAATATGACTGTCTCTCCACACTGTCCCCAATATAGGTCATCAAATTTTTAAATCTCTGCCAATACGATCTGCATTTCTTTAACTGTAAATGATCTAAACATTTTTGCGGCCAATTTGGAAAGCAGTATGGAGATTCCTTGGAAAGCTGGGAATGGAACCACCATTTGACCCAGCTATTCCCCTTCTCGGACTATTCCCTAAAGACCTTAAAAGAGCGTACTATAGGGATACTGCTACATCGATGTTCATAGCAGCACAATTCACAATAGCTAGACTGTGGAACCAACCTAGATGCCCTCCAATAGATGAATGGATAAAAAAAATGTGGCATTTATACACAATAGAGTATTACTCTGCACTAAAAAATGACAAAATCATGGAATTTGCAGGGAAATGGATGGCATTAGAGCAGATTAAGCTAAGTGAAGCTAGCCAATCCCTAAAAAACAAATGCCAAATGTCTCTGATATAAGGAGAACAACTAAGAACAGAGCAGGGAGGAAGAGCATGAAAAGAAGATTAACATTAAACAGGGACGAGAGGTGGGAGGGAAAGGGAGAGAGAAGGGAAATTGCATGGAAATAGAAGGAGACCTTCATTGTTATGCAAAATTACATATAAGAAGAAGTGAGGGGGAAGGGAAAAAAACAAGGGGAGAAATGAATTACAGGAGATGGGGTAGAGAGAGAAGATGGGAGGGGAGGGGGATAGTAGAGGATAGGAAAGGCAACAGAATACAACAGACACTAGTATGGCAATATGTAAATCAGTGGATGTGTAACCGATGTGATTCTGCAATCTGTATACAGGGTAAAAATGGGAGTTCATAACCCACTTGAATCAAATGTATGAAATATGATATGTCAAGAGCTTTGTAATGTTTTGAACAACCAATAATAAAAATTTTTTTAAAAATAAATAAAATGTTAATAAATTAAATGAGATCATGTATATAAATGCCCATCACTGATCCCAGAAGTAAAGTAGCACTCATTAAATAAATGGAGCTCTTAATACTTAAAAAAAAAATGATCTAAACAGCTTTTGGTTGAATTCATGGCCATCTGCAATGTTACAAGCCAACTGGTCTGGAATCACACAACCATCGATGATGAACCGTTGTAGGTGGCAGTCAGGTTATTTTAAGCAAGTAACTTAACCTCATGTACTTTATTTTCACATCTGCAAAATGGGAATGTCAAAAGTATCTATTTCATAGGGCTGTTCTGAGGATCAAATGAGAACACATAGTGAAACAGTAAGGCTCTGGCATATGATAAGTGCTTCAGAAATCTCAGCTGCTACTAATAGAGCAGCTGTAATAAAAAAAAAAGGGGGGTAATAACAGTGCCTCCTTTCCTAGGGCCTATGTGTTCTTATCCTTTAACTGATTTTCAATTGGGTTGCTCATTGATTTGTATGACATTTTTCAAATTAGCACTTGATCATTTGTCACAATTATTTTTCTCATCCTAATACTTATTTGTTTTGGGGTTTTTGTTTGTTTGGTACCAGGAGTGAACCCAAGGGCACTTAACCACTGAGCAACACCTCTAACCCTTTTTAATATTTTACTTAAAGACAGGGTCTTGCTGAGTTGCTTAGTTCCTCTATAAGTTACCGAGGCTGACTTTAAACTCTGCAATCCTCCTGGTTCAACCTCCCAAGATGCTGGGATTATAGGCGTGTGTCACCATGCCCAGACTCCTACTTGTTTTGTTTATAGAATTTCCCTTCTTTTCTAGAATAATGTTTGTTGTTTTTAGTTATTGTTGTTGTTGCTGCAGTACCAAGGAATGAACCAAGGGCCTCATGCTATCTCCCTAGCCCTAAAAAAAAAAATCTGTTTTTGAGGCAGGGTCTTGCTAAGTTGCCCAAGCTGTCCTTGAACTTGCTATACTCCTGCCTCAGCCTCCTGAGGAGCTGGGATTCCAGGTGTGTGCTACCACACCTAGCAGTTTTTGTTGTTTTGTTGTGCACAAGAAATACCTATTAACTATAGAAAAAATAGGAAATGCAACCAAAAAATAAAGAAAATAAACATCATTGTAATTTCACATCCCAGAGTCTATTAAATTTTTATGAGCCAGATCTTCACTAAGAATATGTAGATAAGAATATGTACATACTGCTTGAAACCTACTATAATCACCATAGAATAGAGTGAATGTTTCTACAAGGCATCTCCTTTTGACTCCAAAGTGTGTAATTTTGCCTACTACTCAAAACATATCACTTTATCCCAGACTTCAGTCAGTTTCAAGTCCCAGAAACTCAGTTTCTGAGGAAGGGAAGAATCATAGGCCTACCTTGAGCCTTCTCCCAGGCTATGGAACAACCTGGAAGCATTAAGATTCCCAGACAGCCTTTTCCACAGGCAAATCTTTAATGTGACTAAATGCTCCAGAACTTGAGCTTCAATGAACATAGTGCCAGCCAGAGCCCCAAGGAGGCTTCCGCAGGGAGTGCCTGTTACAGCTCTGTAGATTTCCCTGGCATTACAGATTTATGACATCTTATCACTGCCAAGGATAGGTCTGTAAAAGACTGATAACTTCCCCAGGTACTTGGACTCACCAGTTCCAAATAAAGAGATAACCAACACCCAAGTTATTTCTATTTTGGAAACCTGGACTCGGAGGGAATTCCTGACATCCCTTCTAGTGATCAAGCCAGAGATTGTGCAAGCTCTACAGTCAAGAGGAATTATTTGCCTTAATACCCTGAGATTTAAAGCCAATGGCCCCAGGCTGGGAAGATAGGACTGGGACTCTGTTGACTTTAATTAAGTCTCAAAAGTGACCACAATTCCAATGAAATAAGAAACTAAAGAATGGAGTTCAAAAAAGTCAAATAAAAAGGAAAAAAAAGAAAAAAAAGCACAGGAAGGGTAAAAGAAAAAAATCTCATCTTTTACACTTGAGCAATTAATTACCCAACTGAGTCCAAAGAAAAGCTTCCCTCTGGGTGCAGGGATCTCCCTGCAGGAACAGATTAGCACCCAGCGAGGTGACCATGACTTCCCCTCTCCCTCTGGCATACTCAAGAGACACCCTGTTCTCTCAGAGAGTAAATGAGCCAGAGGATACAGGAGGCAGCAGACTGCTTGAAGTTTCAAGAGAAAAGGACGGAATGTTCCTAGAGTTTCTGCTTTCTATCTACATTGGTTTCACATCATCTCCATTTGAGACCCTACAGAAAGGAATGCAGATTTCGCCACTCCAATGGTGCGTGTGGAACAAGCTCACATTTAGGATGGCTCAATGGATTCTAAATAAAACATTTCCCAAGGCGACAACTGTGCAGTTAGCCACATATGGCAGGTCTTTCCCCCACGGGTTCTGGATCTTACCCCTTCATCCAGCTGTCCTTCCTGTCATTGCTGTGGCCACATGCACAGTGTGAGTCTGTATGCTTTGACAGGACCAAATGCAGCTGTGTTGGAAGCCGAAGTTTCACACTCAGCTGAGGTGGCAGTCACCCTGGGGCAGGAGCTGATAACAGCATAGCAATGGCCCCTCACAGCAGCTCAAAGTGAGCCCATCCTGCCTCTGCCAGATGAATGATATCAAACCACTGGAATTAAATCCTATTCAGCACCCCTATGCCCCAGGGCAGGAGGTTCCCCACCAAGCACCCAAAATCCAGGAAAGTTCATTCCAATCCTCCAAATAAGCGCTCTGGCTTCCTGACTTGGTTAGTGCAAAGGAAAATATCCAGCCCCACCTATCGGCACCTGGGCTCACCTTGCGCATGCAGGGCGCGGTGGAGTAGGGGTAGGAGCCCGGCCTGCCAGAAGGAGTAGCAGCCATCCACCAGCTTGTTGCAGCGACCCTGAAATCCACCTTCAAATCGCATCTGCCGGCTTGTCACCCATTGCTGAGAATGAGATGGATGAGAGGGGCAGCGATAAGTCAAAAGAGACACAAAATCCACCAAGACAGGATCTCCAGGGGCCAATGTTGAGAAGAAGGGCTTCCCAGCATGTGGTTTCTTGACTCTTAAGTTTGGGGGCTCTGGCTTTCTTCCCTTCCTTCTCCTCACTGCCACCGCCATTTAAACCTTTCCAGGCAATCAGCACTGACCTCTGCTTAGTGCCAATAGACAACCATCTTCTCTGGATTCCAAAATGGCACTGATGCTGGGAGAATAAAGAGGCCACATTGGTTTCCAAGGAGATAGGAAATCTAAGGCAAGACCAGGAGGCCTGCTCTCATCACTTCTCTGCTTAGGGAAGTTCATTCAAAGTGGGCAAATGGAATTCTGTGTTACATTTCATTAGAGGATCTCAAACTGTCCCTGCCTTTTCTTGGACCTAAGGACATTCACCCAAGTCTTTTAGCAAGTTACCATCCAGACTGGAAGCAAAACACATCTGTCTTCATTATCAAATGATGACTGCCCAGTCTAACCTCCTATGCTCCAATCTGGTTGGCTGATGTAAGAAAATCTTAATACTCCAATGCTGCAGATTGACACTGGATGTCAGTTAGTGGTAACACATGATACGGCTATTCTCTCTTATCTCCAAGTTTTCTAAACACACTTGAACACTAAGATCAGGACAGCAATGGGTGTGGCTCTTAGAGAATGAGAAAATCAACTGGCCGAGCAGACAGGACATTTCCTTTCCTCCCTAGCACTCAAGGTAGGTCCAGCCACCAGCTATGGGCCACAGGGTGCCTTGGTGAACTGGAAGGTCCAGAGTGGGGGTCATCCCTTTTACCTGAAGTCTTCCTAGATTTGAGTTCCTGAAAGCAGATAGGAGGGGCTCTGGAGAAGGCATAGAGCTCTTTCTCAGTACTTAGAGTTTAGATTATATCCTTGTTCATAGTAACACTTGCCTACAGAGAGCTACAGTCCCAAATTTTTAAAGACAAAAAGCTGCACTGCAGGTTCAGGTAGGGACATCCCCAGGCCATCTTAAATGAACCAATGCTTTAGGGACAATGCCATTTAATGAGAGTAGGCTAAATGCTACTCAAGAGGAGAGAAAGCAGGCACCACGCAAGGAGTCCATTCTCCATTTTTTTTGGTACCGGGGATTGAACTCAGGGGCACTCAACCACTGAGCCACATCCCCATCCCTATTGTGTATTTCATCTAGAGACAGGCTCTTACTGAGTTGCTTAGTGCCTCGTTTTTGCTGAGGCTAGCTTTGAATTCGCCATCCTCCTGCCTCAACCTCCCTAGCTGCTGGGATTACAGGCATGCGCCACCATGCCCAGCCCATTCTCCATTTTTACATACCCCACAGCTTAATTGTTTACAAACCAGACTGATTTTTTTCCAGCCCATGGGTTGACTGTATTCCACTTGGCTACATGGATTCATAAACCCTTTCAGGTACCAGTCCTAGTTCTTCCAAAGCAAACAGAGGAAAGGAAGTAAGATGGATACTAACATTTATGGGGCACCTACTATGTGCCAACTGTTTACATTTGTTCTCTCCTTTAATCTTCAAAGAATAAGGATTATTATTTCTCCCTTTCAGAAGGGAAGGAAAAAAAAAAGAAGCTAAATAGATTAGACAATTTGTCCAAGGTCACTTACCCAGGAAATAGTAGAGGCAGGGTTTAAATCTAGAATATTGTTATTTCAGCTTGGTTATTCACTAATCATATTCCTTACCCTGCCTGGGATATGAAACTTTTATGTTTCATCCTTTATTGGTGATCAGATTTTAAAATGTGTCATAAATTCCAAGTCCTGTGCAAGATGCTGGCTTTTTAAGAAAATCTTCAAGATGTCTAGAACTTTCTTTTCTTTTTTTTAAATACCTTTATTTTATTTATTTATTTTTATGTGGTGCTGAAGATCAAACCCAGGGCCTCACTCATGCTAGGCAAGTGCTCTACCACTGAGCCACAACCCCAGCCCCGTCTAGAACTTTCTAAAGAAGAGTATGCTGTGGAAGATGGGAATTCCTGAGAATGAGGGCAAAACATTGTTGATTATTTCACTACAGAATTTAACACTGATTGTATAGGACGGTCATGATAGGTCCCACAAAGGGAGATGTCAGTTGCAGCTGGTCTGCTATAAGGTCATGTTAAGGGGAGTGCATGCACCCAAAAAGACAAGAGGGAAAAAAAGCTCCTTGGCAGTTGTGAGAACATGGGTATGTTAGTGCACTAGGTTTCCACTGAACACTTCACACAACCTAGAGACTCCCTCAGGCTGACTGTTTTCCAGTCTTTCTGCATATTAGTCAGGAGCTTGGAGTCCAGATGTATGTTCTTGGGCCTTATGCTCAAGGAAATTGTCCAGCTCTGCCTAAAGAACTCATTTAAATGCAGGTATTAAATGTTTACATAGGTAATAAAAGCTTAGCTTCAAAATGTTTCAAAGCTCTTTTTGTCTTTTTTTCTCTTAGGACATTTTTTTTCTAAGGCACATGGTAATCTCTAATAAGAGGCAAGAGCTATACTTTTCTTGCAAGTTTGAGGAAGGTACTCTGGCTTATTCCACATGTCTGCAGTGCTCAGACAACCCAGAGTTGGCCTAGCACCGTATATAGGAAACCGAAAGCAGAGAGAAAGGTGGGGAAAAGGGAGCCCAGACTAAGAGCAGTTACTCCCTGTCAGCTGTCTCAGATGTGCTGAGAGAGAGCTCCACTGAAAGCTTCACCGTAGGACCTGAAGTTGTGAGCTCAAGGCTAGAACCCTTAGTCCCTCCATAGCCAAGACTTTCCGGATGTCTAGGAGCAGTCACATTGCTAGGACCTGAAGCCTGAGGAGAAGATGGCTTAACACTTACTAATAAGCTCTTCAAGTTCAAGGTGCGTTCTTTCTTGAGGATTACCAGCGCAGCCAGGCCACAGAAAGTATAGCCACCGTGGGCTTCCATCCCCGGGACCCCGCCAATGCCACCTTCCCAGTTCTGACACCTAAGGAGAGGTTGGAAAAGCAGATGAGTGGTTAGTGGGTGGATGTGCATAAGTGTCCCCCCACCCTCCACATTCCAGATGGCAGAGAATGACACTGCTCAAACCAAGACATAAGCCATAGGCTGCCACCACCATGAATGGAAAGATGCTGACTTACTAATTTTTGGAGATGCCTTTTCCAAAAACAATACCACCAACAACAAAACAACCAAGAAACCCCCCAAAACACCTGATAATTAGAAATAGGCTGTTGTATAAGAAAAATAGTATCTCGGATTATTTCTCTTTGGGAAAAAAGGTATAAAATCCTATATGTAGCATGATAATCATAAAGTTAAAATGAAATTGAAAAATAAATGCTGATTCTGGTTATTTTAGTACAAAGGTGATAATTTTTAAAAATTTTTTCTATTTTCAAAAAATTTCTATAATTAACATACGTATCTTCAAAATTAAATTTTATTTATAAAAATTATAATTTCCTATATATTCATATTATCCATTTGTTATTACAGTTATTATTTGGCATTAGACTATATATTATGGGTATATTTTCTAGACATAAAAACATACATAATCTTTGGCCCAGCCATACAGGGCCATTTCTAGATTTAATCTAACAAAATAAGTAAGAAAGAATCCAAAGACCGGACTAAAAGGTCAGTCATATTCTCATTTATAAAAAGCAATATGATGGGCACAACTTAAAAGTCCAAAAATCATGGACTAGTTTTATGAATTATGATGCATCTATACAACAGAAATTTGACAGTCATTTAAAATGACACTACAGAATATTTTTAAATGTTCCATTTATTATATGAAAGATATTATAAAATGACAATGAAGAATAGAATTTCATTTTTAGAATTCTGGAAGAGTATACACCCAAAAAATTGGTGGTGGATAACAAGTAATTCAAAGTTTCTTATTTTTTGGTCTAGGGATGTGGCTCAGGGGTAGGGCATTTGCCAAGCATGCAAAAAGCCCTGGGTTTGATCCCAGCACACATACACATACACCAAAAAAAACTTCTTCTTTTTGCTCACCTATAATAAATGTTTTATCTGTGAAGTGAAAACATTTTATTTTAAGTACATTTTCATATGACACTTTAGAACTTTATTTTCAAGAATCTCTAGGTAGGGCTGGGGCTGTAGTTCAGTGGTAGAGCGCTTGCCTTGCATATGTAAGGCACTGGGTTCAATCCTCAGCACCACATGAAAATAAATAAAGATACTGTGTGTTCATCTACAACTAAATAAATATTTATTAAAAAAAAAAAAAAGAATCTCTAGGTATTTACCAAGAGTCACCCTCCCTATCAGTATTACCTCACAGACTGCTGTAGCATGGCTACATAAGAAAGTGGGCCTTAATCCAAGAGCTGACAGAACTTCCAGGCAGGAGAAAAAGGAAGCAGTAATGCTTTCCTGTCTTCCAGGTTCCTCTCCCTAGAGGCCTGACATCTTGGAACCCACAGGCTTTCTATAGAGAGGACCCAGGCGGAGGGAATCAGATTAGAATCTAAAAATCAACTCCATGCCCTGGATGGATCCCTCGGCTTCCTCTGTCCCCCGTCCTCTATTGCCATCCCAACATCCACCCTGTAAGTTTTCTTTCCATTACAGTTGGCTACTTGGAATAGAAAAAGAGTTCAAGGTTGAAAGAATATGTAAGGGATCTCAAAATTTTTCTTTTACTTAACTAGGCTTTAACTAAAAAGGTAATACTTATTTAAAAAGCTCAAACTTTTAAAAGTATGAGAGAATAAATAATGAAAAGGTCTCCTGCCCAGTCTGGCCTCCTACTCCCTGAACCTGAGCCTCTATTTCTCCACAGAGAGACAGACAGATGGACACATACACACACACTACAAATACATGCTCCACTTTTCCTCCCTTGTGTTTATACAGATGGGATTATAGAATATGTGCTGTTCTGCACCTTGCTTTTCTCCTTGGTACAATTCTATGGGTGTGTCTTCAAGCTAAACATAATGGGTTGAATATAAGAGCTCAGTAAAATCAAAGTAAAGGAATTTAAACAGGGACAAAACACAAGGATAAAGAGAATAGGAGAGGATATGAACGCAGGCAGGCAATAACAAAAATCTTGAAAACTAGAACAGGAATAAGAGTAACTAATTTAGCCAAATAGAGGAACCTTCCCTAGTCAGAGTGAGGGTAGGGGTGGTGATGGGGAAGACAGAGGCAACTTTGATCACCTCTAAGAGTAAGATGTGTTTGAGCCAAGTTGTTTGGTTGCAAATTTATATTAAGAATCACTTAGATCAGGCTGGGGTTGTGGCTCAGCAGTAAAGCACTCGCCTAGCATATGCAAGGCCCTGGATTCGATCCTCAGCACCACATAAAAATAAATAAATAAAGATATTGTATTCAACTAAAAAATAAATATTTAAAAAATAATTAAAAAAAAAGAATCACTTAGATCATGAGGTTCCTTCAAACCTAGAAGATGGGAGGTTTTAGAGTTTGTTCCAGGGGACCTGAATTCTAGGATTTCCAACAGAGATGAGAGCTGGAGGGAGGCACCATACTAACAGGGGATTAGGCGAGGGTCTAGCTCTGAGCCCCACCACTCACCTCCTTTCCCTCCAAGTAATCCACAAAGTTGACGGCCACTTTCATGTCACAAGTAGGAATCTGGAAGGTCCCTCTCTAGGGAAACTGATAAGCTTAAGAAAAAAATCCTATAGATATGTTTATGAGAATTCCCTCAACAAATGGCTGGGGAATTAGTCTATGCTTATACATGTAGCCCCCCAGTAGTTTGTGGATACTGGATTCTTAAATACAGAGAGCTGCTGAGTACCAAACATCTATATAGTCTCTGATATGAAAAAGAGAGAAGCCAGATGCAGTGGCACAGGCCTGTAATTTCGACAACTTGAGAAGCTGAGGCAGGAGGATCTAGAGTTCAAGGCCAGCCTCAGCAACTTAGCAAGGCTCTCAGCAACTTAGCAAGACCCTGTCTCAAAATAAAAAGGGCTAGGGGATTAGCTCAGCAGTAGAGCACCCCAGGGTTCAATTCCCAGTACTGGGAAAAAAAAAAAGTATGATATGAAGAACACTGCAAATGATAATAAAAATCCCTAAACAGAACAGGAGAACTGAGCTTTGGAAAATTAAAAAATAAGATTACAGAAATAAATAGTAAACAGAATAATGAGAGAGGGATACTAAAGGAATCTTTCAGAAAGTTCCAGAAGAGATTAAGGAATGAAAAATAGGCAAAAAAACTTTTTTTAAAATTAAGTCAATCCTATTGATTAGATGTTATAAAAAGGAACAAACAGAGAAAATGGAGAACAAATTATCAAAGAAATACTATAATGAAGCTTCTTGTTCTGAAGTATGAATGCTTCCTAATCTACAAGGCCTGCTGAGTGCCCAGTACAATGAGTGAAAACAGATTCCCATCAAGTTTCATCACCATGAAGTCTCTAAAGAGCTAGAATAAAGACTCCCCAAAGTCTCTAGGAGGGCAGGTGGGATGGGAAAGGAGAAAAAGAGAAGAAAAATAAAAGCCCACAGCGGGCATCACAATGGCTCTGGCAGTAGCATGCCCCAGAGGTGACCACCAAGGTTAAATCCACTTGATTATTTTGTATTCCAGCTTTATATAAAATTCAATATCCCACCATCTGACATATAAAGAAACTATAACATGAAGAAGTTAACTAACCTAAGGCAGTCAGTAATAACTGACAAAACTAGGATTCAGCCCAGTCAGTCAGATTTCCACATCCAAGAAGAGCCTGACTATCCACCCTCCTGAAGACAGCAGGACACGCCCTGCACAAAACACAAAGCACAGCTTTCCAAGGGCCCAGCTGACTGAACAGGTGTGCAGAGTTTGGTGGGGATTTGAAACTTGGAGCAGACAATAGCAGAGCCAAGCCCTCTCTCCCACCACGATCTTTATCCTCTGGTTTGCCCTGAGGATGGCTGTAACAGTCCAGAGGTAGCAGCAGCAAGTCAGGCCACAGCTCAGGGATGCAGCTGAAACTCTTATAGAAAGCCAACCATCTTGCTGGGTGTGGTGGCACATGCCTATAATCTCAGCAGCTTGGGAGTATGAGGCAGGAGGATCGAGAGTTCATTGCCAGCCTCAGCAATGGCAAGGTGCTAAGCAACTCAGTGAGACCCTGTCTCTAAATAAAATACAAAATAGGGATGGGGATGTGGCTCAGTGGTCAAGTACCCCTGAGTTTAATCCCTAGTACAAAAAAAAAAAAAAAAAAAGAAAGAAAGAAAAGGAAAAAAAGCTAAACATCTTTCTGGCAGGAAGAGACAAGCTGCCAGAAAGTAAGGAAAGTTCTAGAAAGAGGAATGGAAAGCCCAGATTTCACCTTTTAACTTAGTTCAAGTTTCTATCCAACCCCTGAATCATACTGCATTAGACAGATTGAAAGCAGCTTTGGACAGATCTGAGCCATTAACCACCATAGGATCCTGGTTTGCAGTTTGAGTCTAACCAATTTGACTGTCTGCTAGAACAAAAACACCAATATCCTTCAGAGTGATTAACAATCAAACAGAATCCACTTACAATATAATTACCATGTTCAAGATACAATCCCAAGTCTATTTAACCTAGAAGAGTTGGGAAAATGTAATGAGCTAACTTCAAGATATCCACATGTTGAAATGACCAGACAAGGATTTTAACACAGATATGATTATATATTTGCCACAGTAAAGAAAAAAATATATGCATAATGAAAAAAAAAAGGGTAATCCCCATTGATAAACAGAAAATATAAAACCCTAGAAATGCCTATTCTCATTCTCTGAACTACAGCCTGCTTACTATAGAGTACTACAAAATCCTCAAGAAATGTTGGTTATTAAAGTTATCTGTCGGGCTGGGGATGTGGCTCAAGCCGTAGTGCGCTCACCTGGCACGCGTGCGGCCTGGGTTCAATCCTCAGTACCACATACAACCAAAGATGTTGTGTCCACCGAAAACTAAAAAAAAAATATTAAAATTCTCTCTCTCTCTCTCTCTCTCTCTCCCTCTGTCTTTAAATAAATAAATAAATAAAGTTATCTGTCTTATTAATTGACAGATAATTAATTAATGACAACATTGGAAGCCAGAAGATAATGGAGCAATGCTTACAAATTCAGAAGGAATACAGTTTATACCAATGCCAACTTAGATCTCTCTAACCAAATAAACTTTATCAAGGAGGTCTGAGAGTAAAATAAAGACATATGCAAGTTCTAAAAATATATCTTCCAAGTACCCATGTTTGGCATATGTGCTTCATTCAAATTAATTAAGTAAACCAAAAAAAAAAACAAAAAACAAAAAAAGCCTCTGAAAGATAAGGGCTTCAACAAAACAGAGATGTGAAGAGGATTTCATGCTGAAAGGAAGCTTCTGGATGCTCACTGTGCAGCAAGCTGAGAGCAATCTGTCCAGCCTGAAGCAGGAAGGCAGAGGGCTGCAGAAGGGATGACCCAGAACACACACACACAAACACATACATGTACACACACCCAAAATAGGTTACCTGAGGTGTATGACTGTATGGAGAATAACTTCATAGCTCTAGCAGAAATTTGGAGATGAATTCATGATATACACATTCATGAGATATATATTAATTTCAGGAAAATGGAAGTTATACAAAAAATAAATATGATCATAGTATATCTGATTTTACTGTGAGTTATATTTACATTATAATAACTACTATTTTGATGAACATTTAATTAAGAAAATAAGCTTAGCTATCATTCCATAACAGTACATATGTATCCATCATGCCTTTTTTAAAAATTATGAAGTACTTGAAGAATACAGAAAAGTATAGAGAATGCACAGGTATGTAATACCTAACTTAGATATAGTCATGGACACTTTAAAAATAATAATAATAATAATAATTTTTTAAAGAGAAGGAGAGAAGGGGGGAGGGGGGAGAGAGGGAGGGAGAGAGAGAGAGAATATGAATTTCAACATTTATTTTTCTTTAGTTTTCAGCCGTCACAACATCTTTGTTTGTATGTGGTGCTGAGGATGGAACCTGGGCCGCACGCCAGGCGAGCGCGCTACCACTTGAGCCACATCCCCAGCCCAAGCATGCATTATTTATTTATTTATTTTTAAGAAAAGAACCACTGCCAATACCACTGATACTGGTGTAGATGTCCCTCTTTTCCTTTGCTAGCCTGGTGTTTATCTTTCCCATGTGTTGGGGTTTTTTTACTTGTTGATGGATCTTTATTTTGTTTGTTTGTTTGTTTGTTTATTCATTCATTCATTCATTCATTCATTCATTAGCAGTGCTTAGAATCAAACCCAGTACCTAAGGCAAGCGCTCTACCACTGAGCTACTGCTCCAGCCTCCATGCACCTTTTTTTTTTTTTTTTAAATATTTATTTTTTAGAAGTAGTTGGACACAATACCTTTGTTTTATTTATTTTTATGTGGTGCTGAGGATCAAACCCAGGGGCTTGCACATGCTAGGTGAGCGCTTTACCACTGAGCCACAACCCCGCCCTCCATGCATGTTTTTATATTATTACTACAAATGACTTTTCCCATAAATAATAGAGATTAGTTTTGTATGTTTTCAAATTTTAAGAACATATGCTGATCTGTAGGAGTTTCGTGATTTTTGTGCAGTGCTGGGGATGAAACCCAGGGCCTTGTACTTGCTAAACAAGTGCTTGCTTTACCACTGAGCTACATCCCTACCCTTGTAGCTTTTCTTTAACATCCATTTTTTAAAAACTCAACACTGTTTTTGAGATTTATCCACACTGACACGTTACTCTGGTTCACTCATTTTGGTTACTATGTTATATTCCAATGTGGCTAATCCGTAACTTATTCAACTTGTGCTTAAGGACATCAGACCTGGTTCTAGCCTTTTGTTCTTATAAAACAAGACCTTGTCTCTACTCTGTTTCACTTATGTGCCTGAGAGTTTCGGTGGAAGTGGAACTCCTGGGTCATACGCAGGGCCATTTTGAGATATTGCTCTCCAAACTGCTTAAATCAATTTAGATTCCCACCAATACTACTTAGAAAAGGTTTTCCCTTTAGTCAATCTAAACTATAATTAGTGAATGTCTGGAAAAAAGAAACAGTGTTAAGTATTTTTGAAATGCACAATCATATAAACCAATACCTCTCTTGTAATTTTATATTCCCTTCCAGGCCTTTTTTGTGTTCTTCATTTTTCTGAAGTAAAGTCTGGACCTGCCCTCTAAGAGGCCAGGGAATATCCTGGCTGCTCTCACCTTGCTATCCATTCAGCAGTGCCCTCAAAAAGGTCTGGAGTGATGATGTTGGTCAGAGAGGCCACTGAGGCGGCACAGTACGCACTTCTGGAAAGACAGAAGCAGAGGGGAAACATGTTACATGTTAAGGAAGAGCCTAAATAAGACTAAGTGAACTTCTTGGGTGGACTGCTTGCTTCGCCTAGTAAGCTGTAATCACCTCCTGTCCTCATTCCTGGCCCACGGTCAGTCTTCCTGGGTCTCCAACTGAGAGGTGTGACATTCTATTTGGATAGAGTTGCTCACGGCATGGCTTCAGTGAAAGAACATGACATTCTATTCTCCCTACCTCCACATGGCCAAATCTACATTAGAGGAAATAACAGCCATATCAATTTGTGTCCAAAGTGGACTTAGCATTTCTTTCAGAGACCTACAATGGTTCCACCCTGAGTTATCTTTCAGGTGCTTCTGAGTTGCTGTTCATTCATTCAGATGTCAGCACCATTTCAGATCTGGGATTCCTGTCTGGATGTGGCATGGGTGCATGAAAGGTTAACTACACATTTTCTGTAACAGACACTCCAAAGCACGCCATCGACCTCTTAATGGCTGCTTAGACCAAATAAGAGAGACAGGAATAGGTGAGCCCCTTCAGACACATTATTTAAACCTCTAGGGGGAAGAAAAAAGGTTTGATTTCCAGCATCTCACCAGTACACACAGATACACACCTTTTGACAAGAAAGAATGAATATGACTATTATTATTATTTTGGTGCCGGGGGTGGAGCCCAGGGCTTCATGCATGTTAGGCACATGCTCTACCACTAAGCTACACCCCAGTCCATGCATACATATTTTTTAACATTATCCTACTTGATCTGGTATAATTCTTGCCATTCTATCCTTCTGCCCTAATTCTTCTCAGGACACATTCTATTTCAGCTTGTTCCTCTTTCATGGAACAAGGCCAAGGATTGCTTTTTCTTCCCCTCCATGGTCTTTTCAAATATGCAACATGTGAAGACAAAAACTATGTGTTCTAATTCTGCTCACAAGTCTTTTTAAGGGCCCCTCAGGAACACAGAAGGGAAGAAAAAGAAGGGCTTCATTTCTGTCTCATTCAGTACAGACATGACACGAAGTCAATCTTATTGCAGTATTCTGAGAAAATCACTGCAGAAGCTGCAAGCATTACTGTACTACCAGTGTCATTCCCAACATGGCTCCTACTGGCTACAGGTCAGCAAAAGCTCAGCTAGAAGAGCAGACATCAGGAGCCTTCAAGAGTCACGGTGCTAATACCAAATGGTGTCATTTACCATAAGCTAACTCTGATCTAATTTCCTTCAGGCCTTGAGCTAAAAGAAGCTTGAAGTATTTACTCTTGAATCCTAATACAACCTCAGAGCAGGAAGGCCAGCCTCGAATGGAGTCTGACTCTCATCAATGGATGAGCCAAGAAGTACTGCCAAAGCCACTAGTCCTAGATCTCACATTGAGATAGGGAGGGGACAAGGTACAACTTTTCCAGGTAGTTTCTTCCTCTCTCCTGGTTCAATCATCACAGCTGTCAAATGTATTTGTTCCTTTCTACCCTCATTGGTGTCACCCAAATCCAAGTCATTAGTTTCTACCTGGATTGGTCTCCTGTCCAGTCTGTTTCCTTCCAGCCCTGAAAGGATCGTACTTTTACTAAAACACTATAATCCATTCACTGCAACTAGAGAACTTCTAACAAAATACAAATCAGATCACATCACTCCCAACCTAAATCCTGTCAGAATAAACTGCAGACTCTGGGAGGAGCATCCAGGGCCTCCTCAGTCTGTTCCAGCCAGTCCCTCCAGCTCCGTGTCTCCCTCTGCTCCAGGGTCCTCACACTTCAGCAACACTTACCTTCTCTTCCCTTGAGCACATCCATGTTCTGTCATTTAAAACCTGCAAATGTTGGGTCCCTGTCTTCTGTCTACCTCATGGAATGTTCCAGATTATATAATCTAAGGAGGTCAAGAATATATAGCATCTTCTTTCTTAACCACAATATGATATTTTACAGTATCTAGGAGCTGAAACTCTTAAAAAAGCTCACCTCAGAAACTTAGGACCGGAAAGATCAAGAGACCACCTCTGTCTAATCTGGCATGGGAGCAAGCTGGTCCCTGGAAGCCAAACTGTCCCCAGCCACAGCTACTTCTCTCCAGGTCAAATTCACTCAACAAACACTCCTGACTGCTGGCTGATGCTTCCAGGCAAAGATCCATTAATAACACACCAAGTAAGAAACTGTGGAAGTGGGTCCTAGAAACCAGGCAAGGCAGGGAAACCCAATGAGGCCTACGAGACTTTATCCACCATGCACATCTTTCATCTGCTGTACAAGCGAAAAGCGGGGCCTCGGATGAAGGAGTGTGTCCAAAGGAGAGAGGAAGAGAAGGAACATGGCTCTGGTGCCCTTCAGTGGAACAAATCTATTTTATTGGAGAAGTTGCCCAGCATTTGTCTAGCAGATATAAAAACAGAAAGACTGGTGCTGGAACAAATGAGTTGGAGAATAATAATGTCTGAAAAAGATAGGTGATTAAAACACATAGCTTTTTCTATGGTTTGTTTGCTGTTGCCTAATCTCAAGTTTGTTTGTTTGTTTGTTTTTTAATTTTTTTGTAGTTGTAGATGGACAGAATGCCTTTATTTTATTTGTTTAAATTTTTTTACGTGGTGCTGAGGATCGAACCCAGTGCTTCAAGCATGCTAGGCATGGGGCTGCCACTGAGTCACAGCCCCAGCCCTCAATATGGTTTTGAAAGCTAGGTTTCAGGGCTGTACATATTTAGATGTAATATCTATAGGACAGGGATGAAAAAACAGTGACCATGAGGGCAGCAAAAATCTTTAAATCTTTTCCTTCAGAATTAAAACCAAAAAATCTTTTACTAAAAAGAAAATCTTTTACTAAAGGCCTTTGCAGTGTGGTTACCTACTTTTATCTGTAATGTGTATTATGCTCAACAATGGTCTTTTTTTTTAACCCCTATGCTTTCAAACAAATGGTTAAGTCAGATACTTAAGTCAGAATTATATGTGGGTATCTTACTAAGGTATTAAATCCAGGGGTTTAATCTCAGTGAGGCCAACAGCCTCGATAAATTACTGAGGCTGGCTTTAAACTCACGATCCTCCTGTCTCAGCCTCCCAAACTGCTAGGATTACAGGCATGTACCACCATGCCTGGCTCAAGTAAGAATATTTATTAATATGTGTAGAAGCAAATCCAAGCAATAATAAGCAATAAGATGGCTTTGATATAGAAACCTCACACACACAAAAAAATGCATTTCTCAGACTAAATAAGAAGAAAATGGCATAAAATCTCAATAAGCTCTTATGAGCCACTCACTTTAAGAAATGACTCATTCACCAAATTTGCTATACGCCTCATAAGTAATCTGTCAGGTAAGGAAACACTTGCTAGGTATATTTTACTTTTTGAGTAAAATAGTAAGTATGCGCCAACAGGTACAGATAGTTTATATGACATCTCTGCACTGCACTCTAAGGGCTTGTAAGACTCTCTGCACCTCCTGAAGCAACTCACACACCATAGGAGGATCTCAGATATTCAGCATTCTCAGCATCTCATCAAATTCAATTAGAAAGTGTTCACTGAGTCCCTATCAGGCTTATCTTTTTCTGGTTTTGGTACTGAGGATTGAACTCGGGGTCTTGTGCATGCTAGGCAAATGCTCTACCACTGAGCTACATCTCCAGTGTCTTACTGAGCTTTCTTCCAAGAGAAATGAATGATTATATTATACTGTATTATATAAATATTATACATTTATATTATAATATAAATGATTATATTATACCATAATGTTTTACATTATGGTGCATCATTTTATATCAAGCAAATGTATGTTCAATTTTTAAAACAAAAGCATTGGTTTTGTTTCTAGCTTATGTTTTGACATTTACATAAAAGAAACAAGAGAGAACGACACCTGAGGACATCTGTATCATTTGCAATGATTGTGACACTGTGTCACTCAAATGTCATTCTGTGCATCACTTCGTGGCATGAAGCAGCAGCTTTGCCAGGCTGTTCCTTGAACATGGCATCTCTAATGACAGATAAGCTCTACAAGCTCTTGATACAGCCGCCCACTCACCTCACGTCCACCTCACCTCCAACGTGCATGAGAAAGGAACCATCAGGTTGTTTCAGTGAGTACAAATACTGAAGAAGCTTCTCTCTGAGAAATGGTGGGGAAAGAGACAGAAGAGGCAATCAATGGTCAGTGTGGTGTAGCAGGTGGGGAGCCCTTCTGGGTCTCCGCCACTACTGGGTGTTGTACCTGTTAATGACGTCATAGGCCTCCTCGGTGCCAATGATACACAGGGCATTGACGGCTGCATACGTGGGTGCAAGGTGTGGGTACTGACCAGGGCCCCCTCCAAAGCCACCTTCTGGGCTTTGACATAGCTCCAGGAACTGACACACACTAGGTACATGGACAAATGGAAAAACAAAGTCAAAGAGCATTAATTTCAAAATGCCAAATTCCCACCAGACCCCGTGCCTTTTCAATCATTCCTCCTCCCTTAAAATGAAAAAACCCTACCACCCACCTGCTGAGTATAACTTGTAAAAGGGCTTAATTTTCTATCCAGCTATCATCTGTTTTGTATGCCCTCTTGAGTTTTGCATTTAAGCATCGGCCTAGTCATGAGGCAAAGAAAATAAGGGCTAACCTTTCATAGACTTGAAGGTAAGAGTCTCATGTGTTCTCTGACCACACCTTTCCCAGCAACTTGCCACCCTGCATCTGTGGTTCCAGCCTCCTCCTGCCTTTGGGACCTCACAGCCTTGGAATTTTGCCTAAAACATGGAGCTCAAATGCTCCTCTCCATGCTGGTTGTCCTGGTTCAGACCCATGTCCTAGGCCAACCATGAACACCTGGAAAGACCTTTCCACTCCCACTGCCACCTCCGCCTGGTGGGCTCCTGCCTTCTGTTCCCACCAGCAGGAAAAAAACAAGATCCTGGTGGAGTCTGTCTTCCTGGGGTGGGAGGTCCACATGCTCGATAGCCACAGCAAACTCAAAAGGAGCACGGTTGAGTCACATCACAAGAAAGCATCACAGTCTGCGGGCTCTGGGAGAAACTGTCACACTAATCCAAAGAGGCCCCTGGCCCCCTCACTGAGGGAAACCATTTATGGAAGGTTTACCTCTGATTATGAAACCAGGCTCCCTGAAGTTCTATTCTTGCTTTAGGTGAAATCAAGAGAGCCCCTATGTGTCCAAGGTCCTCTGAGGGTCACCGGGAAGGAGTGCTCTAGAAAGACCCTGATCATCCAGCTGCTTCCTGACTCAGCAGGCCTGCCTATCATGAAAAACCTCCATGGATGAGAACAAACAGCAGACCTGTCTCACTCATACACAGCCTTCTCTTCTGGTCTTTCATTGCATGATTTCTTATCCACTGATGCAAGAGAGACCACATAGGCTGATCTCCACAAAAACAGTGTATTACTGCATTCAAACATACATCATGGGGCTGGGGATATAGCTCAGCTGGTAGAGTGCTCACCTCTCAAGCACAAAGCCCTGGGTTCGATCTCCAGCACCACAAAAACGAAAACAAAACAAACATACATCATGTTTGATTACTTTTGATTTTCGACCTTCCATTATCCCGACAAGAGCAGTAACAGAAAGTGATGCTGACTTAAAAGATACCAATTCACTTCTATTTATACCTAAAATTTTATTGTAGGAAACACAAGGGCTGAAATTGAAGAAAGAGAGAGAAGGAAGATACTGTGCATTATTATTTTTTTTTCAGACCTTTTATTTTTTTTTCTTTTTTTTATTGGTTGTTCACAACATTACAAAGCTCTTGACATATCATATTTCATACATTAGATTGAAGTGTGCATTATTTATAATAGAAATTAATTTTCACATCCAGGTGTGTAACACAGATGCTGGTAATCCCAGCATCTCAAGGCGCTGAGGCAAGTGGATTGCAAATTAGAGGCCAGCCTAGACAATTTAGCAAGACCCTGTCTCAAAAATAAAATAAAATAAAATAAAAAGGTCTGAGGATACAGTTTAGAAGAAGAGCCTGAATTCAATTTCTGTGCTACACCCACAAAAAAAAGTTTTCATAAGTTAATTGCTTGTAACATATTTTCCAAATCATCTTTAATTTTTATGCCATTTTCCAGAAACAAATAGCTAATAAGCTCAAGTCCTAACAAAGGCTGGCTGCAATAGCCTACCAAAAGCTTTCTATACCACAAAAATAAAAAGTTTTTAGCTAATATAAAATTTAGGCTAAACCAGGCATGGAGGTGCAAAAATGTATCCTAGCAACTCAGGAAGCATTTAGAGGCAGGAGCATTACAAGTCTGAGACCAACTTTTCAACTTAGCAAGATGCTGTCTCAAAAACAAAGGATGGGGATATAGCTCAGTGGTAGAATGGACATGGATTTAATCCCCTGTATGGGGGGAGGGGGGTTAGGCTGAGGCTGGGAATGTAGCTCTGCAGTAGAATGCTTGCCAGGCATGTGTGAGGCCCTGGGTTTAATCCCCAGCACCACAAACAACAACCCAAAGTAACAAGCAAAATTTACCAACACATTTTTTTTTTTTTTTAAAGAGAGAGTGAGAGAGGGGAGAGAGAGAGAGAGAATTTTTTAATATTTATTTTTTAGCTCTCGGCTCTCGGCGGACACAACATCCTTGTTGGTATGTGGTGCTGAGGATCGAACCCAGGCCGCACGCACGCCAGGCGAGCGCGCTACCACTTGAGCCACATCCCCAGCCCCTTACCAACACATTTTTAAAAATAAGAAAGAAAATGATTCACTAAGTTGTCCATTTCCTTCCCCAGCTCCTAAGATAAAATCATGCCAAATACAACACTCCTGACCTGGTAGCCTAAAGTCTGGAATGAGCTAGGATCTGAATGTACCAGACACCTTAATATCCTCCCTCCATGCCAATGGCCCTCAGCTGACACTCTGCATCTGACTGTCTGGGGTTGTGCTACAGAACTGAAGGTGGGGCTTCTCTTTGAATCTGACTTCCGTATTACAGAACATTCTGATCTCAAGACTTTCCAACTTGCACCTTAAGAACTGGCAAACTGACCATGAAGATACCAGCTGTCGTTAGCAGACTTCTTAGCAATTTTGAAAACTAAGATGTTAATGATATTTTAATCTATCAAAAGGGAAAGAAAAGTTTCTTAGAGAACAAATATTCAAGAATCAATAAAATATTTCAGGCAGGAAACACTGCATAAATACCAGGCATGGCACAGTTTGTGAAAAACAAGTATTTGCAAAAGCATTTATTTAGATATACTACAGATAATGTGTGTGTATCTTAGATGGAGATCAATTTTCTTTAATGTCAGCAAGACTTTTCATTCTAGCTTACGTGATAACTACCAACAGAGTAGGCAACTATCTTCTAGATAAGGGATTTTTTTTTTTTAAGTTGTAGATGGACCTTTATTTTATTTGTTTATTTTTATGTGTTTCCGGGGATTGAACCCAGTGCTTCATGCATGCTAGGCAAGCACTCTACTATCGAGCCACAACCCTGGCCCTAGATGAGTGATTTTCAAACCCAAAATAAATATAAAAAAATCATTGAGAGCTAATAAAGAATATAAAGGCCCAAGCCAAGCACAGTGGCTCACATCTGTAATCCCAGCAACTCAAGAAGCTGAGGCAAGAGGATCACAAGTTTGAGGCCAGCTTGGGGAACTTAGTGGAAACCCTGTCTCAAAGTTAAAAAAAAAAAAAAAGTGCTGGGAATGTAACTCAAAGGTAGAGAAACCCTGGGTTCAATCCTTAACACAAGGAGGGGGGATATAATAATAATTGTTGTTGTTGTTCTTATTATTACAGAGGTTTAGACTTGCTGAGGCAGAGAAGAGCCTGGCCCTCTGCCTTGTTTCCATATTCCTAGGTGATTCAAATTACCCACCAGGTTTTAAGCACCACAAGTTTTTGCTGTGCAATTAGAGTCACTTGGGGGATATTTTTAAAATATCCAGCTCCCAGGCCACACCTAATAACAATTAAAGCAGAATCATGGATGATGGATCCAGGTGGCCATATATATATATATATATTTTTTTTTTTTTTTTAAACTCCCTATGTGACTCCAATGTTCACCCCAAGTACTAGTGCTTCTCCAACTTGAGTGTGCACAGAAATTACCTGGGGATCTGGTTACACTGTAGCATTAGTTCAAAACTATCTGAGCTTCTGTATTTCTAACAAGCTCCCAGGTGCTGGCAATGCTGCTGTTGTGGGAACCACATTTTGGATGGCACTGAAATAGATCTGCACTGTCTTGCAGATAGCTCCTAGTCACTTGAAGCTATTTAATTTATTTTTATTTTTATTTTTTGAGAATCCAGCTGTCTTTTATTAGATCAGTCATTTAAAAGATTTGCAAAATGCAAAACAATGCCATTCTTCTAATTTTTCTTTTTTTAGAAAATAGTTATTTCCATAAATTATTTTTATTGGTTCTTTTTAGTAACATATAACAGTAGAATCTATTTTGACATAATTATACAACATGGAATGTATCTTATTCTAATTCAGACCCCAGTACCTTTTATTCTACTTCCCATTCCCTGAGGCTATTTAAATTTTTACTTGAATTAATTAAAATTTTAAAATTAGCTCACACAAGTCCCATTTCAAGTGCTCAATAGCCACATTTGACTAATGGTTGCCACAGTGGAGCACACAAGAAATTTCCAGGACATTCTCATGGAAAAGTCTCTGGGACACCACTGCTCTATCCTTCACCATTTTATGTATTAAAAATACATAAAACCTACAAGAGGATCAAGTTCAAAGCAAGAGGATCTGCCTGATAAGGAGTTTATGGGACTTCAGATAATGGTTAAGGTCTAATAGAAAGTGATTGACTCTGGACAAGTCTGTCACCTATGGGGACGAAGGATTAAAAAAGTATGTACAATAAATAAGCAAATGATACAAAATGAGCAGGGAAACAAATCAGAAGCCAATAAGAATAAAAACAAATGAAACACATACAAGTAGCAAGTGATATAATCGGGAAAGGCAGAATGAGGGGTGTGCAAAGCATATAAATGCAAGCATATAAATGCAAGGATCACAGCAAGAAGCAGAGCAGAGATCAGGGTCCCATGAGCTGTAAACAAGAATGACAAGCAATGCTTCTTGGGGCTGGAGGTGAGGCTCAGTGGAGGTGAGGCCCTGGGTTCCATCTCCAGTGCTCTCCCCAGATACCGTATAAGCTGAAGAGTTCTAAAATATTTAAAGTCTTAGCTCTTATCAAAGTTAAAAACATAACTTTAACAGTACAATCAATGGTCTTCCTGTGATCTTGATTTTGTTTCATTACAGAAGCTTTTAATAACAAAGCACAGGATTCTCATTAAAGGATGCTTTCTTCAGTGCTAAATCATTAAGCAAAGCAAATGTCTGATCTCAAAATATCAATTTATTTTTGCAAACATACATATAAACATGCATATAAATATACATATTACCTCTTAAGAGAGGCATGTTAAATTCTCACCTATGAATAGATTATTCTTGAAACATCTGAAACCAGCAGTAATAAAAGCCTGGCCTTGCTTGCTTTGGTCAGCAGTCACAGCAGCTGAGAAAAGTGATTTTGTCCACTAGAGGGAACTCAGCTTGTCATATTATTCCCTAAACAAGCAAAAGTACAAGAGAACAAAATAGGAAAGCGAGAGAAAGCTTTGTGTGTGTGTGTGTGTAGGGAGTGTGTGTCCAGTGCCAGCTGGGGCAGGGAAGAGGGCAGGCAACTAATAAACTCCAGAGCCCAACTTTCCATTTCTGGGTCAGCTTAATATCTGAAGGAGGGGAAACAGATACTGTTTCAAAGCATTCTTTTTCCTGTGCAAAATAAATAAAAATAAATAAACAGACAATGTCTTGGGGCTGGGGTTGTAGCTCAGTGGTAGAGCACTTGCCTAGCACATGTGAGGCACTAGGTTCGATCCTCAGCATCACATACAAATAAATACATAAAAGAAAAGTACCATGTCCATCTACAACTAAAAAAAAAAAAAAGGCAATGTCTTATTGTAGGTAGTCTTAAAAACATTTTATAGAAGTCATTAAGATTAGTCTGAATCTTACTAGCACATGTGAGGCACTAGGTTCGATCCTCAGCATCACATACAAATAAATACATAAAAGAAAAGTACCATGTCCATCTACAACTTAAAAAAAAAAAAAGGCAATGTCTTATTGTAGGTAGTCTTAAAAACATTTTATAGAAGTCATTAAGATTAGTCTGAATCTTACTAAAAATAGTTTATTTCTTTATATGTTGGAGTTAGAATTAATTGCCTGCTAAGAACAAAACAAAATGCAATACAATTACTGGAAAGCCTATCATTCTTTAAAAGTTCAATAGCTCTAGGCTCAGAAGAACCACAGTAGAGCTTTTAAGGCAGCTGTGAAGCAGGAACTCTAGGCCACTAACTACTGAGTGTTCTTAAAATTAGGATAAATCAGCTCGTTATTTTTAAAACATTCTTTTAATGACAAAACAAAGTTTCACTGTAGAAATTTTACAAAATGAAAATAAGCTTAGAAAAGAACATTTAAAAACCATCCTTAACCTTGCACTTCAGAATTAACTACTGTCACATGTGCATGCATCCTTCGGGTTTTTCTAAGCATATAATCAATCATCTATGTTTTTAATCTATAAAAGTTGAATGTCTTTATCAGTTTTCACATTGCATCTCTTTATAAACATTTTATATGCAAATAAACATTTACATATATAAAATTTTGAATGGCTGTTTAATATTTCATTGTACATATTGTACTATAATTTACTTAAGCTATGCCTCCTCCACCCATGTGTACATTCAGAGAATCCTCCCATTTCAGCAGAGGGCTGGGATTGAACTCAGGGTCCCCATACATGCCAGGTGAGCCTCCACCATTGAGATAAATCCCAGACCCTTTCATTTATTTTTGCTCCTCTCATGTGCAACTTTCCCATTCTCCTAGTGTACATCCTGACTGTGTAGGTGTGGGGAAAAAGCTTTCCAAACAACCTCCAACCCCCAACTGGTATTTCAAAAACACATGGGCCTTTGACAATTAAATTCCTGTTACTGCAGAAACTGCATCCAACCCTACTTCCAGTGCTGAAAGCAAGTAGGCTTGCTGCAGCATCCTGATGATAATAACAGTATACATTTTCCCTCAGCCTCAGAAAGCACTGTACGTATCACAAGGGTTAATGGCCTAATGCTTTATTATCTTCCCCATCCACATTCATCACAAGACACCCTGCCCAGGAAAGCAAGAATGAGAGGTTATTGTTAAGAGAGAATGAATAAGACAATGTGAGTTCTGTTCTTGTGACCTGACAATGTGACTGAGGCAGGGGTACTATGACCAGGGAGGGCTCTGGTGAGTCTCCATGAGCCCTGGCACAGATGCTACCTTGGGCACAGAAAAACAAACCTGGCGCAGGAGACTCCAATCCCAGGTTCCTCGCCCCTTCGAGCTCTGGAGGGAGCAGAGAAACACAAACCAAGAACACCTGCCTGCTCTCGGCGGACCTCCAAGGTCCACTCCTGACCGCCCTTTCCTGCCCAAGTATCCCTAGGACTAGAGTAAAGATCAGGGTTTTTCTTCTTTAAGATATAAATTGTTGGGCTGGGGTTGTAGCTCAGTGGTAGAGTGCTCGCCTCACATGTGGAGGGCACTAGGTTCAATCCTCAGCACCACATAAAAAAGTAAAAAATAAAATAAAGGCATTGTGTCCATCTACAACTAAAAAAAATTTTTTTTTTAAAAAAAGATATAAATTGTCATAAGCTTCTGAGAATGAGGTGCCATTCCATGAATGCCATCTGCGCAAGCAGCTTGGAGAGAATCTCAGTTGCTTAGATCTCTAGTCCAATCAGAGGTTTGAGAAAACGGAGTTATGGCATGAGTATCCCAAGCAGTACCCATCCAGTCCCATCAAGAGCTAACCTGCCCCTCCAGGCACAGGGAAGAGGCACTTCCATGGAGGTGTTATGGAAGGCGAGGGAATTCTGCTCACTGAACTGGCACATGCTTCCAAAAGCAGCTAGGCAAACAACAACTACTTTCTGATGAAATAATTTCTCCCAGAGCTGATGATGAAGACTTTTTCTCAAAGACTAGAGCCAAGAGTCAAAAGAAAAGGGCACAGAAGAAACCAGAATCCTTCTCTTGGGAGTTCAAAGTCTTGTTCTACCCACCAGCTTCTGAAGTGGAGGAGTTTTAGGAAGTTGCTGGAGGTCAAAAGAAGGGCAAGGATTTCTTTGTAGCTTTTTTTTTTTCATTCACAACAAATAAAACAGAAACAGAATCAAAACAAAAAAGAACCCCCAAATTCAAGATGCAATTCCAGAGAACACTCCCGAGTCCCCAGAGCCAGACTCACTCTGTAGCCACTATCTGGGGGATGGGTTCATCTAGGAGTTCCAAGCTGTGCAGGATCCAGTAGCAGAGCCATGGGCGGCTGGCATCCAGACACTGAGAGGGATAGAGAAAAAAACACACCCCTATTCAGAATGATTCCAAGACACTAATGACAAAGCTACATCTGTCTTACTCCCCACAGCCTGGTGACCACGAGGAGGGCCTTGCTTGAACAACAATCAGTGAATGAAGATGCTCTGCTTTGTGGCCTTAGCCAGGAGCTGAAATGACCATCTGTGAGAAGAAGACAATGGAATAAAAAAAAGCTGGACTTAAACCCAGTGGGTCCCTCCCTGGCTGCCACAGTCTGGCTGGGCACAATTCAGGAGCCACTTGTCAAAAGAAACAAACTTTATTTTTAGAGCCACACAGGCCAAACAAAACAGCTCCTCAGGAAAAACCCTCAGAGCCCAACTGCCACCACCGGCTTCCCACAAGCCTCTCTCTCTCTTGTGTGATTCCTCAATTGTCTGCTTTGCCAAAAACTTGGTATGTTTCAGTTATGGATATTAAAGATTGTTTTTTTTTTCAATTCCAATTCATCCTGAGGATAGTCCACGTTTTGCATTTACTATCCCTGCACTAAATCATGAAGGTCCTGATCAGAGATATGAGTGGAAAGTACTCCCTCAAGGGATGGCTAACAACCCAACTATGTGTCAAATTTATGTTAATAAAGCAATCCAGCCACTTAGAAATCAAAATCCTGAACTACAAATATTTCACTATATGGATGATGTATTATTAGCACACAAAGATAAAAACACATTGCTAGAATGTTATGCCACACTTAAAAACTTATTAAAAATTATAAGCTAGAGATAGCAATAGATAAAGTACAATTAAATTTTCCAATTAATTATTTAGGAGTTCTATTATCTTCAACCATGGTCCGTCCACCAAATATTCAAATACGAGTAGATCAACTCAAATCACTTAACGACTTTCAAAAGTTATTAGGAGACATAAATTGGATAAGGCCTTATCTAGGTATACCAACAGGAGAGTTGGGACCTTTATTTGATATCCTAAAAGGTC